ACCATCCAGAACGACATCCTCAAGGAGTTCATGGTCCGAAACACCTACATCTACCCGCCAGAGCCCTCGATGCGGATCGTGGCCGACATCATCGAGTTCACGGCAAAGCAGATGCCGCGCTTCAACTCGATCTCAATCTCCGGCTATCACATGCAGGAGGCTGGCGCGACGGCGGTTCAGGAGTTGGCCTTTACCCTGGCGGACGGCCTGGAATACGTGCGCGCAGCCCTCTCCAAGGGCTTGAAGGTCGATGCCTTCGCACCGCGCCTGTCCTTCTTCTTCGCCATCGGCATGAACTTCTTCATGGAGGTGGCGAAGCTACGCGCCGCCCGCATGCTTTGGGCCCAGTTGATGGCCAAGCACTTCGATCCGCAGGATGCGCGCTCCCTGATGCTGCGCACCCATTGCCAGACCTCCGGCGTGTCCCTGACCGAGCAGGATCCCTACAACAACGTGGTCCGCACGACGGTGGAGGCACTGGCCGCAGCACTGGGCGGCACTCAGTCGCTGCACACCAACGCGCTGGACGAGGCCGTCGCCCTGCCCACGCCCTTTTCCGCCCGCATCGCGCGCAACACGCAGCTGATCCTGCAGGAGGAAACCGGCATCACCAATGTCGTCGACCCCCTGGGCGGCAGCTACTACGTGGAGAGCCTGACGCACAGCCTGGCCGCCCATGCCCTGCAGTTGATCGACGAGGTCGAGGCGCTCGGCGGGATGACCAAGGCGGTCGACACCGGCATGCCGAAGATGCGGATCGAGGAGTCCGCCGCCCTGCGTCAGGCCCGGATCGATCGCGGCGAGGAAACCATCGTCGGCGTCAACAAATATGCGGCGGACACCGCCGAGGAAATCGATATCCTCTCCATCGACAACGCCGAGGTCCTCACGAAACAGGTCGAGCGGCTGAAGGGCGTGCGCAAGAACCGGGACGAGGCGCAGGTCCGGGCGACGCTAGACGCGCTGTCGACCGCGGCGGAGACCAAGACCGGCAACCTGTTGGAGCTTGCCGTCAATGCGACGCGCGCCAGGGCGACGGTCGGCGAGATCTCGGATGCCCTGGAGCGGGTCTTCACCCGCCACAGGGCCGTGGTCCGCTCGATTTCCGGTGTCTACGGCTCGGCCTACGAGGGCGATGAAGGTTTCCGGCGCATTCGCGGAGAGGTCGACGACTTCGCGAAGGAAGAGGGACGGCGGCCCCGCCTGCTGGTGGTCAAACTGGGACAGGACGGTCACGACCGCGGCGCCAAGGTGATCGCC